GATAAATAAATTTGGATATTGTTTGACGAAATTTTATATTATAAAATAATGATATTTACATACAAAATTACAGTAGTCGCTCATCTATAATCTATAACCCCCATTATAACAAAATTTTAAAATTAGTTCCAACCCCCATTATAACAAGATCCCGTTATTCATTCACTTTGTAGTTCATGTAAAAATGTGATTCCAACGTTTCACTATGATCCTATCTTTCACGTTGCTCCAGGGTCCAGGCCACACATAATTTTTGAAAATGGGAAGGATTTTTAGCAGAGATGTTGATTAATTTTGCTTCAAGAAAAAAAAAAAGAAAAAACCGGTGATAAATCCTTTGATCTATAATTATTGTTCTAAATTTTGCTGTAATTTTGTTATTGGAAAAAATAATATGCAGTTGCTTCCTCCATGAGTTTTCATGTATTCTTTTATTTTGGTGCAGTACATAGCAGGCTCATGAGTATAATTGATGTTCATAATCTCTCTTGTCCTCTACTGCTTCGATTGTAGAATCTAAGTACTAATTTCAGTAATAAGCAGACACAACTAGCTACCATATAAAGTTTGGTCTTGTGGATGTTTGAAAGGTAAACAAGTGCTTTTATCTCTTTGCTTCCATGTCTATCTCGGAAGATAAATAAATTTGGCTATTGTTTGATGAAATTTTATATTGTAAAATAATGATATTTGCATACAAAATTACATCTGTGAAAACAAATTTCTTTACCGGATTATTTTCTCTAGGTAATTTACAAATTGAATTGACTACTTTATACATAATTGGAAGTATCACTCAACACAATATACTTGATTTCATGCCTAATCAATTAGCCTTGATTGCATCACACCAGGTACAACAGTTCATCCTTGCCTTAGATTTCTTCACAACAACATATTTTGGGCATCTTTCATTAAGTGAACAGAATGAACCGTGAAACGTGGGTTCTCTAACGTCACTCTCATATACTCCCTCCATCCTATTTTAATAGGCTTGTACTATTTTTCACACAGATTAATAAAACGAACTTAACTAATAATTTTTTCTTTAATCTTCCTAAACTACCCTTACAGAGAAATTAATAAATTAATAGACAAAGACTTTAAATGAAGAGAATTACTTTGGAAAAATTATCTCAACTCATTGGAAAAAATAAATTTTGACTCTTTCTACTAATCCCAATACAATCAATAAGTACTTAGGTGGTTGGTTAAGTTAAGGGTATATTTAGAATTTCATTAAAAAAAAATCCATCCTAAATAAGGAAACCAGCCTATTTAGTGGGACACCCTAAAATAGTAATGTAGCCTATTGAAATGGGACGGAAGAAGTAAAAGATAATGATTAGAGTTAGAATTTCAAAATGTAAGTCTTTTTAGACTTGGCACGTAAACTAAGGACACAATCATCCAACAATTAATTTATGTGTTAAATATCTTTTTTACCCTTCATTAATTACATTGAAACTATAAACAAGCTAAATAAAAATAGATTAACATCATTTATTGAGGGTAAAGTTGGAAAAATAGTCATTAATTTGCCTAGAATTTGTAAAACAACCTACATTTTGAAAAATCTCTCCAAAGCTAAAACGACCTACATTTTGAAATAGAGGGAGTTATTGTTTAAAACAGATTTTTTGACATTTAAGTTGTTTCTCGAAGGAACAAAAAAGGTAGAATTTTCTATTTGCACTTCCTATTTCCATCTCATCATTTGATTTGCATTCTTATGACTTTCCAACCTAAATGAAAATTAAAAAATAAATATCAAAATTCTCAAAATAATTCTATCATGATAAAATTTATGTTACCGTTTTAATAAAAATAATAAATATAAGTGCATTACATAACCTTGTGAAGGAACGGGTCCAGAACATAGTACTCCCTCTATTCCAAAATAAGTGTCGTTTTAGTAAAATGGAGAAATTCCGAAATAAGTGTCGTTCTCACATTTCAATGCACTTTTTGTCAATAGTTTCCAAAATTACCCTCAAAAGAGTTGATGTTATTGGTGGACAATTTTATAATGGGGTTGGTTGAGGATATTTAAGTAATTTTATTACCATATTTAATAGTTTCTTAAACTATGTGCAAAGTGTAAGACGACACTTATTTTGGAATGGAGGGAGTATATAATTAACATTTTTTTTCCACATAATAACCTCATCAAAGTTACAGATCTATCTGGATTTCCCGAGGTATGATGACATATGCAACGGCTTGCCGTTGGTTAATTAGGTGTTCATTGAACCCAAACCATAATTAACTACTACGAATTCCGAGTTTCTGACCTTAGGGGACAATTTGAGAAGATCAACGTTCACTGTCAATGTGCCTTTATCAACAGAAAATGTCAAATTCGGGAATCGGGATGAAAACTATGTTAATTCAAATTTGGTAATCAACTGAAAATGAGAGATAAAACGAATTAATTGTGGGAAAATGATTGTCAACTTTTGATTACTACGGCGACAAGTACAATTAATTAATAAGCATGAAGGCTTTATGCATGCGTGATAAACTAAAATTGTGATTCTTAGAAATGTTTAGGAAATTAGGGTCAATATTACCTGTCCACATTAACTCATGTACCCTAATTCTTAAACCGTCAGAATCGGATCAAAAAGTCGACGATCTGCCAAGCCTATGTGGGACACCAAACTTGTGCACAGATCAACCCCATTGATTCTTTAATTTGTAAAGTATATTTTGGAATAGATAAATCAAGTAAATTAATTAAATAATTAACCTTGACAACGATTTTGGAAAGGTAGAGTTGACCAAACAATAATAATGACCATAAAAAATGTTTTTGGGATAGGTTTTTTAAACTTTATATTCTTCTTTCTTAACCCATAAACTGTGCCTAGAAATCAGATAAATGCTTGGTTTTCAGTTCTTGTTTCACCATCAAACTCCCGTCATTCATATGATAAGATAATTATATTTAACTGTTAAAAAGTCAATAGGCGCGGTACGAGATAGATTAGGGAGAGTCAACCGTCGTTAATGATGTTTTGGTTTAGTCGGCAGAGGTTTAAACAAGAAGTGATAATGATGTTTGAGCATAACTAACTAAACTATATTAGTTAGAAGCATGTTACTACTACTACAACCTATAAACCGTGTTGCGATGCAAATTGACAACTATACTTGCAAAGGAAACCGTGTTGTAGTACTTTGGATTTGCAAACGGCAATGAGTAGAATTGAATTAATTAACTTACTTACACACTGAGAGCTCTTTTGCCTCTTTTTTTTCGCTTCTTTTAACTTCATTTTTTTTTTATTTGATTTATTTCTAGTATGTTCTTAATTAGTACTCGATAAAATAAACTATTTTTCGAATTACTTGTCTCTATTTATAACTCGTAGTGTTTTTTGTCTCCAATTAAATTTGAGAGCTCTCTTTCAGTTTACCGAATTTCTCACCGTTTAGACACAGACACCCAATTAATGAACAACTATTAACTCGTTGCAGTACCCCTCATGTCATTCATGATAAAAATCAAGTATAATTTACAAAAATTCCAGCATATTGTAATTAGCAAAAATAAAAAATAAAAATCCAGTATATTCGTGAAATGAAAAGCCCAAGTTAATTAGTTTTTTTTAAAAAAATGTTAAAGAGTGAAATAAAGTGAAGGAGGTGTAGTGGAACCATTGCATCTTCACATGCCTTTTTTTGGATTGTGTAGTTATGACATCAATATTCTATCATTAGACAAACATTAAGTATGTCTTTAACAATGAAAGTGGTTTTTATGTTTAACAAAAATTTTTGAGTTTTCCTCCATTAACCCAATAATTGTACTTGCATAGTGCAAATGGCAAAAATTTGGAAGGCTAAGACGAATCAATAACCTGAAATAAAAGTGTAGTCGGTATCCAAAACATAGAATTCTGCCCATGGATTCAATTGTCAAGCATTAGTCCAACAAATTCCACTTTTGAAAAAAGAAAAAAAAAATTGTGAATGCAGATTTGTCTTCCTCCACACCTTCATTATATTCCAAGTATCTCGAGTAAAGACCTGGACCATTAATACGATCCTTGCGCCCATTGGAAGAGTCAAAAATTTAATTACCTTTCATAACCTTTGAAAACAAAAAATAAAAAAATAAAAATAAAGGGTCAACTATATTTTACCCCCAAGTTTTAGCCCCTTCTACCATAAACCTCCCGAATTTCGATAATACTACGATTTACCCTCTAACTAGGGTCAAACATTAAAATGACTAAAATGATCATGGTTTACATATTCCATTTCCTTTTGTTTTTTTTGTTTTTTTTTTATTTTTTGACCGTTAAAAATAAAAATTAATTAAAATTTTCATTTTACTTCTAATTACAACAAGTTAATAAATAAAATTTAATTCATTATTAATAATATAAAATTTATTATGTTTTATAAAAAAATTAATTAATGAAATTTTTTTTTCAAAATACATGAGATTGTTAAGTTTGAAAATTTATTATTATGTGCATTAAAATATATAAAATAATTAATGTGGAGTAATTTAAACTTAATTATTTTTTATTTTTTAAAACTATTTAAATTGTATCATGTAAAAATAAAACTGAAGGGTATTTTTGATCGTTTATACAAAGTTGATGACAATGCTAGTATGATAAGGGGGGATTTGGTAGGTTGACTAGGAGTCAAGAGGTTATATGGTAGTAATAACAAAATTCGGAGGGTTTACGGTAGATTGGGTCAAAACTCGGGGATAAAATGTAGTTCGCCCAAAAATAAAATGTAACACTCGGCACAATAATTTCATTTTTCTATCGGGACATTGCCAAGTGTCAGAAAATCAGAAAATCTCCATCATCTTCTAAGGTGAGTGATTAAACAAAACAATTATTGATTCATAACGGAAACAATAATTGTCACCATCTGTTGTGGTGGCCTATCAGCAAAGTACCTTATATAATAAATAATGAAATGAAAACATTGACCAAATTTTATATCAATATTCTAAATTCCAATGTCAACATGATGCGTAACCGCCTATTATTGTTGCCTTACTCTGCGGCCAATCAACTGATGATTTGATGAAGTTTGTGCAAATTTAAAAATATATGAATAGAGTTGACAATCCAATATGGCAGGAAAAACTTTCTATAAATACCCTTAGCTTGATGGAACATGTTCATCATCATCACAGTGGAGATTTGTCTTTTCTAATCAGTAATTAAAAAGAATCTCTGAATTCTTTTCTTTTGTATTCTTTCTCTGCTTCTTCTTAATTGTTGAAATGGCAATTCCAGTGATTGATTTCTCTAAGCTCAATGGGGAGGAGAGAGCCAAAACATTGGCTCAGATTGCAAATGGTTGTGAAGAATGGGGATTCTTCCAGGTAAATATAAATATGCTTCAATTAATGAGGAACTGTTCCTTTGTTTCATACAGTTTTTTGATTTCTTCAAACTGGGTTTTGGGTTTTTCCTATTGTTAATTAGAACTTGGATTGATCAACCCTTTTGATTGAAAAAAACTGAAATTCCCTTGTTGGCACTTTTTGTTGATTGTACAGTTGGTGAACCATGGGATTCCTGAGGAACTCCTGGAGAAGGTGAAGAAGGTGTCTTCGGAGTGCTACAAGAATGAAAGAGAGGAAGGTTTCAAGAACTCAAAGAAAGTTAAAATGCTGGAAGAATTGGTTGAGAAGAACAGTAATGAAAGACTGGAAAATGTAGATTGGGAAGATGTCTTCCTTCTCTCTGATGAGAATGAAAATGAGTGGCCATCAAAAACTGCTGAATTCAAGTAAGCACATAATCTTTCATCACCATAAATTAATGTTGACACTTTGCATCCATAAATTGCATAAGTTTGAACTAATGGATCTGTTTAATCAATTACAGGGAGACCATGAAGGAATACAGAGCTGAACTAAGGAAACTGGCTGCAAAAGTAATGGAAATCATGGATGAGAACTTAGGATTACCAAAAGGGTACATCAAAAAGGCATTCAATGGTGGCCAAAACGAAGAAGAAACTGCTTTTTTTGGTACTAAAGTCAGTCACTACCCACCATGTCCCAACCCTGAGAAGGTAATAGGCCTAAGAGCTCACACTGATGCTGGAGGAGTCATCTTGCTGTTCCAAGATGATGCAGTTGGTGGCCTCCAAATCCTGAAAGACGGCGAATGGATCCACGTTCAACCTCTCCCTAATTCGATTGTCATCAACACTGGTGATCAGATTGAAGTCCTAAGCAATGGGAAATACAAGAGTGCTTGGCACCGAGTTTTAGCCACCCCAGATGGAAACAGAAGATCCATTGCTTCTTTCTATAATCCATCACTCAAGGCTACCATTTCTCCTGCACCTGAATTGATTGAAAATTTGGCTGCTGAGAAGGAAGAAGCCAAAGATTCATCATCATCATCAGCAGCAGCAGAAGCATTATATCCAAAGTTTGTGTTTGGTGATTACATGAACATTTATGCTGCTCAGAAGTTCCTTCCCAAAGAACCAAGGTTTCATGCTGTTAAAGCTACATAAATTTGGCTTACCATGCAGATTATCAAATATACCAAAGAAGTATTTTTTTCGAGTGTCTTGTTGGTTATGGGCTGCTGAAAAAAATGGTGTATTTTATTGGCCTTTGATGTATAAGCTGCAGCCTGAACATTAGGTAAAAAGAGACAACAGATGCTTTTGTAACTAGAAATATATGTACTTCACTCTTTGTTTATATATTGTTTCACAGTTTTGCCCACTTCTGGTTTCGGTCAATATGGTTTAATCTAAAGTAAGCATCAAAATATTCTCTAATTGTTTGGATTAAACCTGCAGAATATTTTTCTTTTAGACTAGAAAATATATAGAAAAACAAAAACAAAGAATTTGAATCGACAAAGAAAGAACAAGGAATGCGGGGGTAAGGGTAAAGGGAGAACGTGAGAGACAAGATCTGAATTCAAGGCAGACAAACGAGATCAGGGTCAAAGACGAAGTATCTCAGATACAGGCAAAAAAATTTTGAAGTGATTGTACAGTTTATACTTTTATTTTTTTAGTTTAAATTTTATTAAAATAAAATCTCAAATTAGACAATAATTGTGGGATAAAGGGAGTATTTGATTTGAAAAATGATTGACTGACAGAAATGACAAAGAGGAAAGAAAAGAAGAGATCTGTTAAACTTGAATGTAAAATTCAATATTGTGTTTCGGAGTCGGTTTGTGCATCTTCAGTTCTTCATTATGCGAATTGGTTAAAGTATGTAGAAATGATGTATTAGAACTACATAATCTAGCATATAACAAAATGTGTTGCAATAGTCTAATACAGGTACTTTCTTTAAAAAAAAAAAAAAATCCAGGACCATGCTAATCTTTATTTTGTATCGCCCTAAATAATTTCCCACAACTCATATACCCCCTTAAGGTAAAATACATTCGTCACGAGCATTTCCCAACAAATTAATTCAGCAAGTTAAGAAAGATTTCTAGTTTTTTTAAGTAGATAAGAGGAAATGAGGAATCACTTTAATTAATACCAGACATGAACTATTTATTTAGACTCATGGAAATGTAGCTCTAACACACAAATTAGATTCAAAGATCAACATTCTTTAGTGGTGCAGAAATGCAGATTACCACCTGTCCGCCCGCGCCTTACTGCTGCTTGTGGTTGAGGGGGGAATAAAACATGGCTGAATCCGATGGATGTCAACGTCCATAACTCATTTTTGTTAAAAGACAAAAAGCATCGTCAATCTTTGCCTCATACATTTATTCAACTAGTAGAAAAATAATGTGACAAGCTTTTTACAATCTTATCCAAGGATATCACCAAAAAGCAATCTAATAGAAAAATAATGTGCATGACTTGGCATGATATGTTGTAGAATTTCTTTCTACAAAATTACCGTTTCACCAAATTTACCAAGTAGCGGCCAGAGCCTCAAATTAACAAGCATCTGTTGAAGTTATTTTAGCTAACCTTTAAAAGTACTCGCAAAAGAAACATTACATCTACTTCTGAAAGAGTTGCTTTCTGTACTAACCCGAAATGATTGTACATTTTAGATTTTCATTTCTAGTATAAATTGTAGTAAAAGTGAAAATCCAAACTAAATAATTATTTTAAAACAGAGAGAATACATAAAAACTTGTTGTACACATGATGTTTTGCCATCAAGTGAAAATAACAATAATCTCATTCACACTGTGCTCTTTTTACCATCCATCTAAACTTTGGCATGACCCGTGTCCAATTAATGCCAACAAACACAAAAGTTTGATGAATATTTCCTTTTAATTTAGGTCAGCGTCAGACTGAAAATTCTCTAACGTACATAACAAATATTCCCAACTGGAAAACACTTCCAAAAATCCTATCATAATAAAAATTCAATAACGTATGGTGGGGAGATATTTGTAACATACGGAGGTTACTACGGCTAAATGATGCAAATGCACCCAAATGCATAGGCAAATGTGACTAAATGAGACCAAATTAGCTAGAGAAGATACGCGAGCAAAAGAGAAAATTACGAAAGAGCAACGAAGTCGAGATATTGATTTTGAGAATATTGAGTTACATTTTAGTAAAAATATAGAATTGAATTGTGTACATTAGGTTGACTGCACTAAAAAAGTGCAAAACATGCTTACATTAGTATATTTCCATACATTAGAGGGCCCAAATACACATTTTATACAAGTGAAAATTTTCCTTTTCCATCTACATTCTAACTATAACATGGTATAGATAGACACATAGTTCACATTCTGCTTAAACTTTTGTAATACATGTACAAAGATTCACTTTACTACCTACATTTGCCTTGCTAAACATTTTACCTTACCTTTCCTTGATAATTCTAACATCTTTAAACTTTTATGTACATAATCATATCATCAGATAACAAAATATGCCGCTGTCTTCATGAGCTGCTCATAGCCCAGAATGGTAAACCTGTGAGAATCAAACAGAAAATTAGTAAAAGGTAAGTTGATGAAACCTACATTAATAGACCTAATGTAAGTTGATGAAACCTACATTAATAGACCTTTCTCAGCACTACATGATACGCCATTTTGCCAAGCTTTCCAAAGATATGAACCTATCCAATCTTAAAGATCTACAAAAACCAAAAGTTACAGGTGCTACAAGAGCCACTCTAAAGATCCATCGACATCAATTTTTACAGAGATCCCACTATATACAAAAGAAAATAAGTTTGCTCTGTAGGGGAAGTCTAACATTGAAAATATTTTCAGCATACACAAAAGTTGCAATTACTCAAGTATTCAAATGAAAAATTATACTCTCTCCCAGTCTCCCTCCTAAATAAGAGTTCTATTTGATAAAACGCGATGGAGGAAGAGAAGATAAGGGAGTCATGAGCTTAAAATTCAAACATTATCAACGTACGGTAAATATCTACTTTGACAACCATATCAGTTAGCAAGGGAAAAAAATCTATATAAAAAGAAAAGAGATTCAGCAACCACTATTCATGTATCACACCATAGAGATTATAATAACTTCTAGAATAGTTCTATATGATTTTGAAGCAGGTTTTTTGGCAAAAAATGTTTGCAATTTGTAAAGGCAACACTTAATACATTTGTTCGCCCTTTTTGCTATCAAAGGCAGTTGTGATTAGTCTTTTTTGAATGCAAGTCTAACTTTTCACTGCGTGTTCTTTCAGTTTAACTTTTCAAAAGTCAGAGATTTACAAACTTTGCCCAGGCTCCAGACTCCGTGTAGTAAAAGTAACCAGCACCAGTATAGTACATATGCTGAAGAAAGTATAGTCATGTGACCACCAAAAGAAAAATAAAACAGAAAAAAAGAAAGACATCGAGTCGAAAAAATGCACCTTGATAATTTTATCAGCCTGTCCCACGAACAGCTTTCCCTGCCAGTATAGTAAAGCAGTGACCACAGAACCACAAGACACTGATCCCATGGGTATTGCTTGAACTAGGGAACCATCTCCAGACAATTCCTAAAAGTTTTGGATTTTAGTTACAAAGTAGAGGGAACAAAAATCATGCTAATATAATATATATCAGTAACAAGAAGCATGAGAAACACATCTCATCCAAATCATTACATTTTCTTCAATGCCCCATTTCACTTTATTTAGATAAAAGTCCAGAAGAAGTTCATCCAATGAAGTCAACAGGTGACAAAAGCTATCAAATTCACATATTCTTGAAATTGGTTTCAAGTGAAATAGATAACAAAAGCTAGATTCAAAATATTAGCTCACTAATTTCAGGAGCTATACTACATTGCATAAAGAAAACTTACTTGCATACTAATAGTCTTGTCCCAACCCCCAGTGAAAAGCCACTTTCCCTTCTTGCTAATAGAAAAAATAGCACCATCATGAACTTTAGAAGATTTCAGAAGCACATCATCATACCAAATCTGGGAAGGAAAATAAAATTTGTTATTACAAAAGAATTATATATGAAAGAAAAGCAGTAAAGCATTCTTTCGTTATACTGGAGTTTCAATACAGTGATATCTTCCCCCACTTTGTTCATGAAACTAATTATTTGGAAGAAAATTATGAGCTGAAACGAAAATGAATAGCATAAGCACATACTATTTTCATACCGTCACATTGCCACTCTCATGAGCCACGAGAAGCAAATTAGTATCAGCTGCAAGTGATAGAACAGAACCCAAGTTGCCAAGTTTGTCCTCTCCTAGTACTGCCAGAGGACTATGGTCATTGATGGACCATAATCGAACAGTTCCATCCCAGCTCCCACTGTAGAGAATACTGCTGCATACGGCTAAGGAGGACACAACTGATTTATGACCAGCCATTGTGCACATTAAACTATAGTCCTGGAAGAAGAAAAGGGAAAAATCATTTACTTTCCGCTTTTCAGCAGTGTAAAGTTGGTGGAAATGTAGAAAAGTGACTATATGAAGGTACTGCCTGCAAGGACCAAGCTTTAATCAACTTGTCGCCACTGCCAGTGTACAGGCATCCGTGCCCAGATGTAGCAAGGGTATGAATACCACTGTAACGCCAATCCTTCTGCTCAACTATTATGTGACTTGGGGTAGTATCAAATGGAAATCTAGCTCCCCAGATGCATATAACACCACCATTGTCGGCAGTTATGCATAATGGTTCTCCTTCATCCACATATACAACTGCAGTGATTCTATGCTCATGCCTTCTAAAAGAATGCACAAGAGAGAAATCCTGTAGATTAACAAATGTAGAGAAGCTCACTGAAAAAGTTTACAAAGCTAATACTTCTCCAGGGCTAATTTCTCAAATATTTTGTCCCAGAAAAAACATGGCATAGCAATCCATGCTTCTTTTCGGAAGATAAGAATCCCAACAGACATGTTTACCTTGTTGGCCTTATTAATTCTCCATTACTTCTTACTCAATGTATCCAATATTTCATATGTCTTATCTTTACAAAGAAAACTAGGCCAACTAGATTTGTTTTTATTTTCATTTCTCTTGGTTTTGTAAGAAAATGTATAAAGTTGTATCAGAAATGCAGCATGTTATAATAAAAATGTGAGCTGAAAATAAGAAATCATAATTTTTTTGAAAATGATCAACGTAACTTAGGATCTGAGATTGTGAGGAAAACAAAAAGGGCACAGGGAAAAAGAAAAGCTTTCTAAAAGCTGCCTATGCAAGCCCTACGGCTCTTAATTTCATCATTGCCCCTGACTTTAAAGATAATATACATGGCACTCCAGCTGAATCTCTCTTAACCCAACTTTGACAGAGTATCAGATTCAAAAAACATGACTGTAGCTTGCTCAACAGTAATCCAGGGTAGATGATATCAAGTTTGCATCCTTGTTATAGATATTTTCCTAGAAGTTGAGATACAGAATTATTTGTAGTTGCTCCCTGTTATCAAACCATGTTTTTTCACGGAAAATCACTTTAATTCTAATTTTACTTACCTATTGAAATATATTGACATTATGCTGCAAGTAATCCAGATCTAAAATGTATTGATTGTAAAAACAAAAACAAAAGGAGCTTTGACTTATACAGGTAACAACCTCTGCCTATTAACCCCAAGCATGGAAACAATATAACAAATAATATAAGAGGGAAAAGAAAAACAATTAACAATAAAAGAAGATTTATGTTCTAATGTATACCTGCAAAGACCACACGTTGAGTATTTTATCATGTGAGGAGCTGAAGAGAAACCCCCCTAAACAAAAAGTTATGCAATTTCATCAACAAATCAGACGACCATCCAAATACAAACAAATCCATGCAAAGATTACCAAAATAATAGTCAAGCATCACAATAAAGAATTCCATAGATCCTTCAACCAAAAACAATTCAGAAAGAACAAAATTGTAGGACATAAAACAGTCTGGAAATATAGAACTCATACCTCCAACAGCTAATCCTGTGATGCAATCTCGATGAGCCTTCAGATCAATGCATTTGACATTACCAATGGATACACCATCAACGACATCCCCATGAATACTTAATTCTTCATCTTGATGGGCATCATGGTCACAATTTTCGTCTTCTTTAGAAATGCCATGCACCAATTTATGTCTTCCTTTTAAATTGTTACCCACCGAATGACAGAGACTGCTTAAACATATACAGTATATTGGATTTCGCCTAACCGTTTCTGCCTGTGAATAAGGGAATGCATCAAACAAAGGTGTTATAATCAATGACCTGATGGACTTCCAAACTTCATGTACAGCTGGCCGACGCCCAGGATCAATATCTAAACACTTGCTTAGAACATCTCTTAGGGACACTAAACCCGAAGCCAAATTCATTTGCAGAGAAGCTATGAACTTCTCCTTACAACCACTGTACAAGTTCACAAAGTTACAGCCTTCTTGGCCAATCACAGAACTAAAAAGACAGTCATAATAACCTTGAATATCTTCAGCAAATTGCTCCCCAGCAAGAAGCCATATAAGAACACAAGCCAAGGACCACACATCTGATCCTTTTCCAACTTCATATTTGAAGGTCTCATCTACGACTTTGATTCCTTCTTTTCTTAACAGTTCAATTAACATCTCTGGACAAACAAATACATATTTTTGGAATGGTTTCTCCTCATGGTCATTGTGTCCAGCTACCATCCTACAAACTCGCCTACCCATTACAAAAATCTGACCAAAATCAACCAAAACATGACTTAACCCATCTAAAGCAAAACAAGATGCAGCCAAACAACCAACAGTTAAGCCCTCAACATGCAAATCCATAACCACTTCACATATCTCCATTCCTATCATTCCAAAGGCACATAGTTTCCTTTCTGTCTGCTCTTCAACTTTCCCTAAAAGCCCATTTTCCAGTGCTCCCATACTCTTCTCCAAACCCCTGTTAAACCTCTCGCACACAATGTAAACAGAATCATCTTCCTCACTACACCAAAATCCGAAAATCCGTCCCATTTTACTGACCTTAAAGCTGGCATTTAAAATCAAATTCAATTGATCCCTCTCATTTTCACTCGTAGAAAACAAGAATTTCATGATCTTTGCTTCGTAACTGTACACAAATTTACAGGAATTGTTACACCTAGAACCATCTTTCTCCTTTTCTTTTTGGCATTGATCATCCCTGAAAACACCAACTTTCACTAGACCCACGTCCCAGTTCTCTTTCAAAACACGCCTATCATATAAACTACTACTACCATTTACACTTTTAACAATCTTTCCACAACATAGAGAAAACAACACATTCTCAATTTCAAGGTGTTTTTCCAACAAAATGCTCTCACTTGGCAGGACCCAATTCTTCCAGTGTAAGTAAAATTCAGGAGACCACAAATTGCGTATGAACAGATTATCACTTTGATCAATTTGGGACGACACTGAAGGTGACTTTTGAGAATTTACCTTTGTGGGCCCATCCGGAACGTTCTGGAGGGAAGAAGAGAGGCGGAGAAGGTCTATATTCTTGGGGAGGAAGGAGATGGAATCCGGCAATTTGACAAGCTGAGTACAGGATGGACATCGGATTGTATTTGGGAAGGGATTCGTTAGCTGAGGGATACAGACTTCACAGGTTGAGTGGCCGCAGGAAAGAACTCGTGGGATGATCGAGACGGCGTCGTAAAGGTTCAAGCAGACTGGGCACTCCGGTGGCTCCGGCAACTCCATGATCGCCGAGGACGGCGAGGAGGAAGTTACTCTGTTTTGCTGTTAATTACTAAAACGGCCTTAAAAGTTTTAGTAAAAAAGAACTCTTTCGTTTAGAGAATTAAAATATTAGTCCCTGTAGCTAAAAAAAAGTACTCCCTTCCCTTTATTATTTGACATTTTGATTTGTTATAATTCACTTCATTTATTTTTTCAATTGAAAAAAAATCTTAAAAATATTTCCTAATGGTTAGGAAAAAACATGAATGTAAAAATATTCTTTAAAGTTTTCTCCAATCGCAAAAATATACTAAGGAAACTTAGTACAAATCAAAACGCTTTATAATAAAGATCAGAAGGAATAGTATATTTTAATAAAAATTTTAACACTTAATGTGGACTATTTTTCTTTAAAGAGAGATTCTAATTAACTATTTAAAGCTTAATTCCTAAAAATTGGTCAAAGAATGAGGACGTAAAAATACATTTGCTTTTATTATAAAATTTCAGTTCCTACGTGTTATTTATAGAGGTTTTTAGAGCGATTGTGTTATAAGTTATCACTTTGCTCGTAACATAAGGGGTTATCCGCCGATCTTAATCACACAGTTATTCTCAAAATTGAAACCCTGATTATTATGACTTCATTTAATTTATTTTTTATATAAAAAATAGTACATATCCCGTTATCATTTGATTAGGATTAGTAGTGTTGGAATATCTATATATATTTTATCACTTAGGATTAGTACAGTTGAAATATATAAGTATATTTATTAATTTTTCCTTTGCTTGGAAAAGTAAGGATATAATAAAATTGTTTGAAATTGCATTTTAAGTGTAATTTTAGATGATAATTTAAATTTTTTTTGTCCATAAAATTCAAAAACACCTAAAGATGCATACATTTAATTGTCCTATAAAAATTGCACTTAAGGCTCGAATGAGTCCATTTTGGATGCAGCCAGTACCATGGTAGCCCCCTCCTATTTTTTACAGTCCTTATTACGTTTTTTCTCAATCTTCTTATATTTTGTAAATTTAGTCCTTATCACTTTTTTTCTCTCTTCTCATAAAATACTTCTAATCTTCAAATGAGCATATCTCATGATCCGTGAGGAATTCGTAAACGAATTCTATAAGAAAATTTGTAGTATTCGACGAGATCTGTCCAACAAAATCCATATTGAATATTTTTTTAATCTCAAAACGTAATCAAATTTTATGGGCAGAAATGAAGAAATATGTTTTTCCTTCATACTGATTATTGACCGGTTTGAACTGATTATCCACTTCGTTTGTACTTGTTATCTGATCATTTTCTTTTTGAAAAAAAAATCATTGTCCAATATATTAATACTGATTATCCATTTTGTTTATGTAGCTATTCCAATCATTTTTTTTTCTTTGAAAAACAGATGTTCAATGTGTTCATAGAGATTATCCAATCGTTTTGTATTCTTTATCCAATTATTTTTACTGCCTATCCAAATAACTTTGTATTACTTGTCCAATTATTCTCTTTCTTTTTTTTTTCTCTTGAGAAAATACTTGTCTAATGTGTTTTTACTGATTATCCAAATCCGTGCTATTGTTTCTCCAGCTATTTTTTTTTTAATTTTTATGAAATAATTGTCTGATATATGTGTACTTGTTATCCAATTAATTGGTACTGCTTATCCAACCTAATTTTTCTTTTTTTTTTTAGGGAAAAAATTGTTGTCACACGTGTTCACATTAGAGGTGCGAAAAAACAAATCATTCAAGCTGAGATATGATCAGTGCTACTCTAATTTTAAACCCAAATAAATACTTAGCTCCATGTTTCATAACGATCAAAGTTAAACTCAGTTTCATATGTTTAGTTGAATTTAGATTTCGTTTGGAATGTGATTTTGTGTGTCTTCTTTTTCTTCTTTTTTTTAAAAAATATAAAGAGTGTATAAAAAAATGTAAAAACTCATGTTAAAAAAACTTAAAGTGGGTTGAAATTAATGTGGTACATAAAATTAATACATTTTCCAATATATACTTTTAATGAGGGTATATCCAGTGTAGTCTACCCATCAATTAAAGTTTTCAAAAGTCGAATTCGAACTCAACTAACAGAGTTTGAATAATTATAAATTATAAAAAGTGTATTTACTATTTAACGATTAAACGATGGTTCAATGTGGTCAACACATAAACACATAATTAATGTATTCCTTCTGTCCCAAAATTATTTTTCTGTTTAGATTTTTATTTTTCTTTTAAATTGTACTAAAAGTGAATCTCAAATTGGACAGTAAATTTGGGACAGGAGAGAGTATATAATAATCATCTGTAGACACAAACCATTAATTACCATTTTTCTGGATATTTTAATTATTGCTTCCAAACCTTGATATTCATGAAATGAAAATAAAAGACTATCACAAGAATTTAACTCAGGAAAAGATATCACATTTATCACCTACAAAAACAAATTCCTTGAAAAATATATTTTACCTATTTCGTTTAATATTGTCTGCAATATTGATAGCTCTTGCTTCAAAATAAAAATTATGTTGTAAACAAAATTATCGTAGGGAGGTTTGATTTCTAGTAGAAAAATCTTTTTTTTTTCTTTTTAAGGAAAAAATAAAGAAAAAGAAAAGATTTGCGATTCTATAAATGCCAACAACATGTATTTTGGAGGTGTGAATGAGTCCAATCGAGGTTGATAACTCTAACTTTAATTTAAGCACAAATGATATTAACTCAAATTAGGCTCTCAAATTCAATAGGATGAGTTAAAAAAAAAACTAGTTCAATTGTTTCAAAGATTCTAACTAGGTGTGAAGAGACATCACTAGCTAGAATGTAATTAAGTTCTCTAGATGAATCAGAGAATTAAAAGAGGATCCTGGATGAATCAGAAGAGGATCCATGTTGATCATTTGTACATAGAGCCATAAGTTATTGTGCATAACTTGTATATAATATAAGAGTTGTTTTGTACATGTAGTAAGTAGCAGGGAAAATATGTAAATAAGTAGATTTGGCAGTTTAGTCGATTAAGGGAGCTGTTTATGCATTCAAGGTGTCGGGAGTACATAGATCCAATTAGACAGAGTTAATACAGAAAAAACTAATTCCCTCTTCACAATCTCAGCTTACCTTACAAACCCTAATTCTTAATAAATTCTTGATGTTTTTTTACTTCCGCTTATCAATTTTGATATCCAAGATGGTATCAGAGCAGGTGTAAAATCCTGCTCTATGCCGAAAATAGTTACAAAGTGACTGGATTTTGTCTGATTACTTGATTTCTTGAAGTTCTTGATAAAGAAACCCTAGAAGGTTCGAACTAAATATGTTCGATTACAAAGAAATTGTCTTAAAATCGCAATGGAGATTGGTTCGAGGAGCTAAGAAGAGAAGATCGCGAGGTACAAAACTACGGTGGTTACATTCATCCGCTGTCTCTTCATCCTTATGACACAACGTCACTGGTAATTATACCTACCAAGCTGGCCGATGTGAATTACATCTCGTGGAGTCATGCAATTCAAAGATCTTTGGAAATGAGGAATAATCTTGAATTCATTACCGGAGAAGTGGTGAAACTGACGATTGGAGATCCAGAGAGAGAGAGAGAGAGAGAGAGAGAGCAGTGGATTCGAGTCAATGAAATGGTAATTGCTTGGATCTTGAATTCGATTTCTCCTGAAATTGTTGAGATTTATGACTTAGCTATAAATGCTTATGAGTTATGGGAAGAGCTTAAGGAAAGTTATGAAACTAGAAATGGTCATCAGATTTATAATCTTTGAAGGAAAATAACAACAATATCTCAGGGGAATTTAAGTCTTGCAGCATATTATTCTAAGTTGAAAAGGCTGTGAGGTGAACTGAAATATGTGCATCCACTGAATGTGCATGTGTAATGGCTGTATTTGTAGGCTGACTAGAAATGGAGACCGGGAAAATAGGAACAAGTTAATGGAGTTTTTGAGTGGTTTAAATGACAGTTATAATTCAGAGAGGAGCCAAGTTTTAATGATGGATCCGTTGCCTGAAGTAAAGAAGGCTTACTCAATGATGTTGAATGTTAAAAACTAGTAGATAGTATAAAGGAACCTTGGTGATAATGTTGAACAGAGTGTTGTGATGGTGCAAAAGATAAACTATACTTGTAATTCTGGTGGAATGACTAGTTTTAACAAACCAACAATGAAGCCTTATGTCACAGGAAATAAAACTGGGACATTTTCAAGATCTTTTGGTAAAGAAAATGATTGGAGGAGAGAAAAGGCAACAAAGAAACTGCTCAAATGTGATCACTGTCAAATGAATGGGCATCTTAAGAGTGAGTGCTTCCAGATAGTAGGGTATCCTGATTGGTGGGAAAGCTATAAAGGGACAAGTAGACCTTTGAGAATCAGGAACTCAACAAATGCAGTGGAGGTAACTACAGACACTGATAAAGGAGTGTCATCAGGTGCAAATGATGAAATGCTAGTCTTGATAAACAACCTGATGAGGATGATGAAAGGAAAGATTCCTGCAACAGAAGGAGAACAAGCTAATTTTGCTTGTTATCATGATTTCTCAGGTATGAGCAACTACACAACTCTAAGTGCCATGAATTTGATAGAAAATAAATATCTTAGGTTACGGTTTCTAGATACAGGAGCTACAGGACATATGGTAGCTCATTTAAAGTTGCTGAGTAGTTTTGTGGCAGTGTTTGAGTATACTCCAGTATCATTGGCCTGATGGTAGTATTAAGAATGTTGAGAATATAGGTAGTGTACACCTTTCAGATAAGCTAAAAATAACAGGATGCTTACACATGCCAACTTTTAAGTATAATCTTCTATCTATGAACAAACTGGCTACTGATTCCCACATTCATTGCTATTTTTAACTCATTTTTGCTAACAGGGCTAGGAGACTAGACAATTCTTAGCAGTTAGAAAAGTCCTCAACAACCTTTACTACCGAGATACAAATTCATTTTCATCAGAAGCCATTGTAGAGGTTGTTCACAGTCA